CCCAAAAGCACTCAAAACGCTATTTATTTTTTTTTTTTTACCCCTTTTTTTTTTTTTTTTTTTTTTTTGCTCTCCTCCTGGATTTTCCACACGTGGCTCCCTGTTTTTAATTTTTCTGCCACACCCATGCTCTAAAGCAAAACAGCAGGAAGATTATTGAATTCAAAGAAATAATCTTGTTATAGTGGAAAAATCTTGTGAATCTATGAAATGTAAGAAAAAAACAAGACCTTGTTTTGATTAGTCGAGTAAAAATTGATCAATTAAAAATGTATTGTTTTTAACAATTTTTTTCCCCCAATTCATTTCATAACTACTGCCACTCCTACAGTTCATATTTTGTGCAACCCCATTTTTCCGATAACATTTTAAAGGCTTGGAGTAAACTTCTCTACAGATAGAAGATGTCCAAAATGAGGTCTGCAGGCCATTTGTGGTACATGGAATGATTTTTTTTTTTTGGAGGCAGCTACCACAGTTCGAAAATTACGTAAATTTTTTTCTCTAGGAAGTTATCCTACTGCAGTAGAAGCTAAGTTTTTAAAGGCTCTACACGTCTTTATTTGAAGTGCATTGTCTAAGCTTCACATATCACTTTGTGTTACTGTATGTATCATCAAATTAATCTCAAACCGAAGGGTTATTAGCTGCCCAGGGAGAGGAAGTAGTCCCTCTGAGGCTGTGTTTAAAGCCTTGGCTGCTAAGTCCTTGGGGGAAAATGTAAATCCTGCATTCATTAGTTCCTACATTCATGTTTTAAATCAGTTTGTAGCCCCAGAGCAGATTGTGAGGCACTGAGCAGTCAGCTGGATGTAGGACGCTGATCGACTCATTTGAGGACGAGTAGAAGCTGGGATGGCCAGGTTTCCAGGTGTACAGACCTCATATTATGATGGTTTTAGAAAAAGTTGTCTGTTCAAAGGTCAAATAGTCACCTGCAACCTTCATCATCACTTTGTTTCTTTCATGCAGCAATAACGTCTCCATTTCCAACAGGGCTGATTTGAGGAGCATAACACAACAAATTATAATTAATTCACAACGTTTCACCCAAAGTATGAAAAGTGCTCAATAAATAAAGTTTGATTGATTGATCGTTTGAATATTGGGATTTCTTTATGCACGTTTGGTTAATTTTAAGGTTGTGGATCTGCAGAGAAAATATATTTGACATGCACTAATAGTCTGTGAAAAAACATTTCATACATAGATCTGCATTATCTGTATGCAGAAAAATGCATGGCTTACAGCAGGGGTGTCAACTTCTTTTTCATTTAGAGCCACAGCAAAACGGTGAATGTCCTCAAAGAGTCAGTTGTGGCAAAATGTACAAATAAAACTACCTAAACTGTTAAAATAATGCATATAGTTCACAAAATAGAAATATTATAGCTTTCTATGTATTCAATGAGTACTTAAAATATTTATTAATTGCTGTAATTTGGCAATATACAAGTAAAAACTGATTTGATTTGACAGATGAAATATTTACCCACACAACTGTTATCTTGAAGTTCTATTTATGTTTTTAAAGGACCATATAAACAGCTGTGGTGGACCAGTTTCGGCCCACGGGCCCTGAGTTTGACACATGCGGCGGAGTGTTTCGTAATGTGGACAAATGTGTGTTATTAATGCATGTATCCAGGCTGTCTCAGCATCAGTGCTCATTACAAAGGTGTCTCTTTTTTAGCTGTTATTCTCCAGGAACTTCAAAGTCTCAACGAGAGATGAAAGGCCGACCTGGAAGGCGAGGCTGTTTCTCATTCGCAGGCGGACAC